CTCCCGTCAACAGGCCCACCGGGCACCTCACTCCTAACAACCCAAGAATCATTACCCGCCCTTGACCGTTTCCTGCTTGCCCCAGATACAGTGGACGCAGATGATGTGCCAGATCTACTAACAAACCTACCACCCCTACCCTTACGCACCTCCACCATATGCGTCTCGTACATGTCATCAACCCTCTGACTGAATGGACCGTAATCATCATACGGTCCACTGCCATCGTCCACATCCTCATCCTCATCTGCGCCCTCCTCCTGCTCCTCCTCCTGGTCACCCTCCTCAGCATCATCATCATCATCGTCATCGTCATCCTCATCCCGACGGTGGATCCGTTCTCTACGAACTGAGGCCGAAATACCACGGGATCTGACATGTCTATGCCCCGACCTCTCCACTGAATAACTTCTACTAAGAAGCTCTATATTCTTCCCCCCACCATGACGACCCTACACAAAATTTTAAAATATATAAACATACAAAAATTTATACGATAAATAATCATCATCGCAAATCAAATACACTAAAAACATACAAATAATTGTAAACAAAATATAAACGTAGAAAAAATACAACGAAATTGAAAAAATTTATAAAAATAAACAACAAAATATAAAAACAATTCAAAATTATATTACAAAAAAAAAAAAAAAAAAATTAAAAACAATTTTTTAAAAAATTAAAAAAAAAATAAAAAAAAATAAAAATGGGGGGGGGGCGCCTTGGCTGGACGTCCAGCCGGCGGTGGTGGCGCCAGATGCAGACGCCGCCACCAGTTGGCTGGCGCCTGGGCTGGACGCCACAGCCACGGCTGCGGCGCCTAGACTAAACGCCACAACCGTGGCGGTGGCGTCCAGCCCAGGCGCCAGCCAACTGGTGGCGGCGTCTGCATCTGGCGCCACCACCGCCGGCTGGGCGTCCAGCCAGGGCGCCCCACCGCGTTCACGGCGGTTTTCCCCTTTTTTTTTTTTTTTTTTTAAACAAAATATACCTTTCCTCCTTGGGACATCCTTCCCTCCGCCGCCGCCGCCACTTCCTTGCCTTGCCGCCTCGACATTGCCGTTATTTTGATTTTTTTTTTTTTAGAGAGGTTGAAAGCAGATGAGCAATGAGAGTGTGAGTGATGAGAGTGTGAGTGTTTTTTTTTAAGGTCAAGGGCAATTTTGGGAAACCAAGTGAATTTTGTGGGCTTTATGTAGTAATTTGTGGGCGATGTTTAACAAATCCCTTTTTTAATACTATCTCACAAGAGGGTATGCTAAAATCAATATTTGGCTTGTCAAAATCAGTTTTCGAGGAGGATCAATGTTTAATGTGCATGGTAGCCCACCTTATGGCTAATTGGGATACTCGTGGTTGCTCGGAGTTTGTGTGTATAAGTCCGTATCCACAAAGTCTTGTAATTTAATTAAATTTAATTTATCATAACATGTCTACCTAACATTTCCTATAAAAAAAGGGTTCAATGTGGCAATATTAGTTCATCAAAATTAAATGGTTGAAAAAGCTTAACGCTTAGTTCTCTCTCTCTCAAAAAAAAAAAAAAAAAAAAAAAAAAAAAAAAAAAAAAAAAAAAAAAAAAAAAAAGCTTAACGCTTAGTTGACCCAAATGCATGGCATGATAGTAACAAAGTAACAAGAAATTTTACAATTTCAATACTTCGTATTAACAACCATAAGCCCAAAAACAAAGTCCAAAGGTTAACAGACCTAACACATAAGTACATAAGACATGGGCTTGTTTTAAAGTCTTAAATTAGATCAGCTGAAGAATACATATATGTACAGGCAGAACTCTTAGTTTTGATTCTGTTAACTAAGCAAATGAAAAAAGAACTTGAACACCTAAATATTCTCAATGCTTATCTACTTGTCTAAACTTGCATTTAGTAATGTTCATACATTATATACTACTATCTTGTACTTCGTATTATGTAGCAACGTAATTGAATGTTTCATATAACAACTTTGATCATGGCACAACTAAAACTTTCGCGTGGAAGAAATTTGAAGGAGGGGTGGGAGAGATTCGAACCCGTGATCTCTATGTCACGTTGGCTTTGATACCATGTTAAAGGACAAACTTAACCAAAAACATAAGCTAATGGTTGAAACCCAGAAATATGTTTTATAATATATCATCCTTAAAGCTTATTAATGGTTGTTTTAATCTAAAAACTTCGATTTTCGTTGCTGCGTGCCTTGCTCGTGTCCCCGGCAACTCTACTTTAAGAGCATTCAACACTTGAGGCTGAATGCCAATTCTGTTAGTTTGAGTTTTAAGCCCATGTGTAGAGGAGGTGCAGTCAGTCCGCCATACATTATTTCATTGCTCATATATTTGATTCATTATTATAATTAAATTGAAAATGATTTTTTCACTGTTTGAAATAAATTTCAAATTTTTAATGATTGAAATATTGATTTTTACTAATTGTTTTAGCTTTTGTTTGTTTGATACAAATGTTGTTTGTATTACACATAAACATCTAACAATCAGCATTGATCATGTCAAATATTTAACCAAATAGTTAAATTACTTGACAGCAACCCGTACAAATTACCAATACTATCAATTGATCAAACAAGTCACATGAATCAATCAACAAATACAACCAATAATAGATAAATTGTAAGAGAAGAAAGAAACGAAGAGAATCATAATTATGCATCAAATTGCTTAGACAACAAAATTAATAATAGTGGCAAGGGTCAAGCGACATTAACTAATTATGTAAAGCACAACTCATCTAGTACACGTACTTACTACTCACTAGGGATATGGCACCTTTTATTTTAAAATCATTAACAAACCCTCCCTTTCTTAGGATCCCCCTCCCCCTAATAAAATAATAATTTTAAATAAATTAATTAAATAGAAAAGGAAAAAAAGAAAAAAAAGAAAAAAAAAAAGAAAAGAAAAGTGTAAACTAGGTGACCAATATTAGGATCCTTGTTAGTTAAATTCCTCCAACTCGTCTTACTCATATGCAATGCAACTAAAGAAAAGAATAATTTTGATTGTAAGTCAAAAGGACAGTTTAAAAGTTGGTCCGCCAATCACGGGGATTAAAGATAATCCCCACATTGACCATTGTTGTAGGGAATTTGCTATGTTCCTTAAATCACAATGAACTTAATTAGAGATGATAATTTAATCGGATTTTTTTAACTTTGGAGCATGTGGACCGTATTGACGTTTTGTTGTTTTCTGTTTTAAATAGACTTATAGAGAAATACTCTACAGTAGATTTAGGCGAAATTTGTTTTCAACTCAGATATATTTATATGAATAATGCTATATATAACCCTTAGAGTTATAAATAGGCATTAAATATATTTACATGAGTAATGCTATATACAACCCTTAGAGTTATGTATTTTGTTCATTTTAGTACAGAATAATTATTATTTATTTTATATTTAGTAAAAACTAACCTTGAATACACCGTATCATTCGGATATATATAAAAAAATTCAAAGCCCCACAACAATACGTCAATACTCAATACCCAATACTTTAAAACAGTCCAATTTGGCCTACAAACATGTTACGGAGGTAACGGAGTACATCTGTACATGATTTTGCCCATTGCATAAATAGTGGGGGACAACTAGTGCAAGGTTCATTAGTGAGTAATTTTGACATTGCTGCTGAAAACACAATATTATCTTTAGTCAAGTATTGCATGTTATATGTTTTTTATGCCCTAACTTGTACAATATTTTTAGGTTTAACAAAATATATACGTGTTGATTATTGACATAGTTTTTTTAGAAAATTATATTTTTCTTAAGCAATTTAAAATAACCTAGAACTAATTAAAGATCACAATCCTTATAATATGCAAGATCGAATCTCTAATTATCACACTTTTCTAAACATAAAAGATTTCATATAAATTTCTAAACACTTAGGGTCTGTTCTCATACGTTGAAATTCAGTTCAGTTCAGTTCAGCTCCTAATTTCCTTCTCTTATAAAATAGTCAGTTCAGTTCAGTCAATGAGAATAGACCCTTATACTGTGCATGCACAAAATAAAAACATCCATTTATAATTTTCCCAATGTGAATAAGATATTTTGTATCAGCTTTAAAGATTATTTTCATGATTCATGAACACGTAAAGAAGATTCATAATAATTTGTAACCAAAAAATAAGATGATTTATTATTTTAAGCTTCCAACAATTATAAGATGAAATAATACAGTATGCCTTTTTAATTTGGCAATTGAAGATGTGATTTGGTTCGTTGCAATATCAAAGCAATCAATTTCTACTATTGCTTTCGCCTTAATCACACAACTACCATTAAAATTACTTTCTTAGAGTATAACATAATAATATTACCAAATGGGTTCATAATTCCTACTACTCAATGCCCTCATAAATTCAATAAGTACTTCACCTAATTGTCATACATGGATGAGTAACTCAACATCATACTATACATTCGTGATAATTATAAAAGGTAAAGATACACATATATGTCTAATACTTATTAGATATAGAGTCGAAAAATCAACATTAAACAAATTCATTATGGTACAGACTAGCTTATTTAGTACATAGTAGTCAAGTAGTCATTACTTTTTTATATGCCACAAACTTTCATGACTTTTTTTCCCTATTTTTTTTTTTCTAAAGTAAGATTATCTTGACTATGGTTAAGTACATAAAAAGAAGAGAAACAACATATTTTGAACAAAAATATACATTTATTAAAATATTTAAACCATACAACTTAACTTTCACTTTCACACTCAACTTTGTTTCAGCATGAAATAAACTATCATCCACAACCCACAAAACATGGAAAAACTTAAATAATAAACACCAACATAACTTTCATAATCTTACAATAAACACCATAATTATATTTAAAAAAAAGTATCATATCACCTATGCTTAATTAACCCCAAATAACATACATAACATCCATGTAAAGAAGATTAAATCATAGTTATCATAATAATATAATATAATCTAATCTAATTAAGGTTGATCAAAATCAAACTCCTCTTGCTTGCCATTTCCATTGAAGAACCTGTTGTTGTTGTTGTTGTTGTTGTTGTACTTGTTGTTGTTGTAAACATCTTCGTAATAATTACTCTCTTTGTTTCCATTATTATACTTATTCTCAACATTATCAACATCATAGTAATATTTTTCAACATTATTATTATTATTATTATTATTTTCAGCATTAAGATCATAGAAATACTTCCCATTTTCAACGAACCTTGTATCACTCATTCCTTGTTTCTCCACCGCACCATTATTGTACCTAAATGATGCACCATAGTCCTTACCGTTGTTGTAACTCAATCCTTTCGACTCCGGCTCGTAATTCTTCTCATGTTGATACTCATTGTTGTTGTTCATGAATTCATTGTTGTTGTTGTTGTTTTCATAGAACTTACCTTCATCGTTAAAATTGTTATATGATATTGGAGTCTTTTCGGCGTAGGTAGTACCGGATAAACCCTTCAACTCGGGTGTGTAATTCTTCTCATAATTATTTTCATTATTGTTGTTCTTGTAGTAGTTGTTGAAATTCTCGTACTTTTGGTTGTTGTTTTCATCCATGTTGTACAAGGTATTTGGGGTGGTGGTGGTGGTAGAAGGGGCATCTAGGCCGGTTTCGAGCCCGTATAGGCCGTAACCGGTTTCGGTGGTTTGAGGGAGGAAAACGGGTTGTTCATCCTTCTTTTCTAGCTTGTTTAATGGTACAAAATCATCTACTTTGTTGTTGGTGAAGTAGTTGTTGTTAGTGTTTGGGTTGATGGTTGTGGTGGGGGTGGCATCGTCGCGGTTTCGAGTAACCTTGCTAAAGAATTGGCTATCTCTAGCATAGGTTTGGATTGAGCAAACTAAGATTGTAAGAAGAAAAAAGAGGCACACAAATTTTGGTGAGGAAGCCATGAGTGAAAGAGGCTCAAAATTGAGAAGAATGAAGTAGGGTTTAGTGGCTTAATAAGACTTTGATGGTCTAAATGCCCTTTATATAGAGCCTTAGCTAACACTTTTTCTTTTCTTTTTTTTTTTGGGTTGTCTTTTTCTTTTTGTAAATTTTCTTATTAATTAATTTGATTTTTTTTTCTTTTTCCTTAAAATTTGGTTGGGTAAGATCTGTCTTCAATATAATTTGTCCATTTGGGAAGACAAAAATGGGTCATGATTGCGAGCATGCTTAATGGCCGGGGAATTTTTCTCCATTTCATACAAGATTAATGGATTTTTTTTAACAATTTTATTAAAGTAGATAATTTTATTAGTGTTTATATATACTTAAATATTAAGTGTTATATATAATATATAATTAAGTGGATTTATAGTTTAACTATGACTGACTGACTGATGATGAGTAATAATTTTGTTTTAATGGCTTACGTTGAGACTGAGATGGTGATGGTGAATTGGGGATAAAGTTCTAACTTCTATTTGAATGAAAGAATTATGGCTTTGGTTAGTATGGCTATTGTGGTAGATTTTCTTAATGCTTTTTTGTGGTTATTTTACTCAAATTTCGATCAAATAAGTCAAGTGAATAAGCCAATATCAGACAATCAAGAATTACACTAGTAACACTACACGTCATATAAGGTATAATTCATGAACATAACACAATTAAAAGATTTCTTTTGATTAATTTCCTATAAATATTAATTTTCTAAGGATATTACATTGGTACGGTGGATATCTTTGGAATTTGTCAAATATATAGGAATTCACTAAAAAATTAAATAATCCTCTCTAACAGTGCTAAGCTATTCATGAATTATCTCTGCTTAATTTAACAATCAACGATTGATTGTGAGATTTTGCTTTGGTTTTCCCCGTAAATAATTTGATATAGTATTGTACATGATCATTAGAGTTACTCTTTGATGACTTAACTATTGAGAGAAATAAAATATTTAATAATTTTGGGTATGAAATAGTCATGTGACTCATGCGCTTATTCCTGCAAAGCCCATCACTTGGTTTGGTTTTCATAATTACTTTGAGTAGTTAAACTACTTTTGTACTAATTAAATTACTAATCTTTTTTAAGTTTTACCCTGGCCTGACAACGCTAGCTAATTAGCTACAGGAAAAGTTAAACCAAACTCATCCCTCCCACCTCCTATTGTATCTACATGCCCTAAGTAAAATTAAAATATAAGCAATTTTCTTTGTATATTTGGCTAAATTATTTTCCATAAATGATGCACAGAATAAATGTATATATTCAATTTAAGAATACTACGTATCTTTTAATACAATCTAAACTATTCATTAATCATTATTCAATATTGGTGCAATGGTTCATAAACAAAGTAATTTACTCCGCTTGTCAAAAAAAAGTAATTTACTCCGTACTAAATTTCCTCGTTGGTAGAATCTTTCAAGAATTTTTTGACGAACAATTATATATATATATATATATATGTATATATATATAAAATAAAAAATAAAAAAAGCAAGAAAGTTTTTAAAATTATAATAGACTATAATTTTCCCTATTTCATTGTTTTTTAAAAAAATGTTATTGTGACTCTATTTCAATTATATTCCGTAGTTCATTTTATTTCAGTTCAATTTAACTCCAATTAGTTCATTTCAACTCCAATCAGTTTAGTTCAGTAAATGGGGATTTATTATTACGTTATGAACATTGAGCATTGTGTAAATCAAGTTTAGTGTATGTCCTTTCTTGATTAGTATTAAATAGTAAGATAAGCTATACACACAAGTTAAACCAACATAAGAAATGGTTTTGTCCTTTTTTGGGGAGAAGAGAATATAAGTAGTATGTATATACTAAATATACTATATAGGTCAATGTATAAAGGAATTGTTCTATGCCAATACGGAAATCATTGTTTGTGCTACGTATTTAATTTTTACTTCTAAGGTTAAAAATTACTTGCAAGCTAAGGATTAATACATACTTTCACAATCATAGCTACATTTGCAAATCATATTCATTGTGAAAATTTATGGTCCATAACATGGATAATCCAGTAAATAGTGGTGACTTTTTAAATTTCACGTGTTTTAATTTGATTCTAAAATTAAGTACGTGTGTAGGTTTTTTCTAAAGTTGAAATCATATATACTTTATCTATATCGTTATTCCTATGTAGTAATTTGACTTAAATTTTTTTTTAAAATAAATAAATAAATAAACCATTTGAACAAGATTTGGTAGACACATAGAGTATATATAATTCTAGTACCAAAATTCTTTGTAAAATAAGTTCCTTAAGGCGTAAAGTGTGGATTGATTAACACATCATGACAAAATTGATACGAGTATATTGACTGATAAGGAAAATTTGTCAATTACTACCGCAAGTTAATACTACTTTGTAAATTACTACCGCAAATTAAAAAAGTTGTGAATTACTACCGCAAAAAATTTTAAGATGTTGCGATAACTACCAAACCCCCATTAAACCCAACTATGACGTCATTATATCACTTTAACCCATGGTTAAAACCCTTAACCATGACGTCATTATATCCCTAATCCATTTTCTTTTTTTTTTTTTTGGGGGGGGGGCTGGTTAAAGCCCTTAACCATGGTCAAACACGGGTTAAAGGGATATAATGACGTCATAGTTGGGTTTAATGGAGGTTCGGTAGTAATCGCAACATCTTAAAAAATTCTGCGGTAGTAATTCACAAATTTTTTAATTTGCGGTAGTAATTTACAAAGTGGTATTAACTTGCGGTAGTAATTGGCAAATTATCCTACTGGTAATTATAATAGTATGAAACTACATCATTAATTTCAACATTTTCTGACCTCTTTTTGTTTTGTTCTTGAGGAAAAAACAGAGAAGTGAGCAGGTACAAATCGGACTACCAATTACCAAATAAATAAGGCGTTGAAAATTGAGTACACATAAAGCATGGTGTTATGGAATTAGGCATACTCCACGTACCAACATTTTTCCAATGAATGCTAAGAATAGTGGATCAGTGCGCCAATTCGTCAATAGGTCTCGATCATATGTTATCTCCATAAAAGTCACTACTTATAAGTTATAATGGTCCATTAATTACCGGACTGTGAGGTCATTAACAATCCATTAACTACACAGTAATATTATACTTTTGTATGTGGATCAATCCGGGGTACATACTATTTTTTATTTCACGGATTAATTAATTTTTTGATATACAAAGAGGTGTAAACGGTAAAAGATATAGTCAAAATATAATTATAATTAGGGATTTGATAGTACTTAATAGTACTATGCAGCTAATCAACTAAGATAGTTGACATACGAAGTACAGTAATGGAGTTATTTTTAGAATAGTAGTGATTTTTTCCTAGCTACTCTAGAAGAGTCAACTTAAAAATTTTCAACATGACCTAAATATTAATTGGCCATTGAATAATGAATGTAGTAGGATTGTAGACTGTAGAAGTGGTCCATTATAATGTTCATAAGCTAGTTTAATGAACTGTAATTGCTTTTATATAGATGTGGTCGGTATTTAAGAAAAAATTGAAAGCCATTGGATAGTGATTCTAGATTTCTTGGCCCTTCTAGCACCAATTTCTTAATAAGAGTTTCATAATTAATTTGGCAAGGAGCCTAATTACTTTTTTTTTTTTAAAGCATGATAATGTCCATAACATGAACCACAACAATTCTATCTCAAATAATCACATATAATTAGAGGTGACAATAAAAGATTAAGTAGTGTAATGAGTAGGTGTACAAAATATCAACACTAATAAATTCTTTCGGAGTACTTAGCTTAGCACGTACCGTAAGTCCTTAACATGGGATTCAGACATATTGGAGTGTCACAATATAGTGTCATGACTTTGTACATACCAGGTTTTAGTTCATCAACCCTCACCCATGCAATATTTCAAAACCTAATATTTCAACAGCTTTTAACTAACCAACAAATAATGAATGCATGGAATTGAAGTAAATTAAACAATACGATTGACTTTAGTCATTGTCAAAACAATACTAAAACATTACAAGTACTATGTTTAGTAATTAGTAGTATAGAAAATTAATTTATGATTACTAATTAATTTAATTTGTACAATGTAAAAAAGTCTTTCAATTCCTTTTTGAAATATTTCTCTGCTTGAATGCAGGAGTGATTTATATTTAATTCGGTGGACAAAATATGTGTGATTGATGACCCAAATTATAGAGGGTTACTAACTTTTACTAACTCTATGCACAACCACCTCTTATTTTTCATGTCTTGGGTTGCGTGCGAAGTTCTTGCGTGATGAACGGAGGGTATGATTGCCTTAATTTGTTGCTTAACATTCAAAGAAGAGTAATACAAAGTGAAATTACAGTACTTTTTCGTACTTTTCCTTAAGGGAGCCCCTGATAAAAAGTGATGTTGATTCAACCTATCTTATACAACATTCGCTAAAGTTAGGGATTAAGGGCATGTTCTCTTGGACTTAGGACATGTTCTAATAAACTGAAATCAGCTGAACGGAACTGAATATTTTATAAGAGAAGGAAATTAGGAGTTGAACTGAACTGAACTGAAAATAAACGTATGAGAACAGACTCTTAATTTCAACTCAGTTCAGTTTAGTTCAGTTCAATAACTCAGAACAGACCCTAATTTCATGTAGAATTTGAAAGGCTTTTGTTCTAGTTGCTTGTGTTTTACTTTTTTTTGAAAGGAGATTGAATTGAGGTTGGGGGTGTTCAAGAATATCTATTCAGAATCTCCGATATCTAAGTCAATGCTTGAGAGAGAATAAAAGTGTTTTTTTTATTAGTTGACACTTATTCCTCTTTAGGAAGTTTATTTTTAGTTGACAATTTTTTTTTTTGGTAAGTTTTTATATTTTGTATTTATTAGTCTACCTCATTTGTTTTATCATTCCCTCTCCTCTCCCCTAAATTAAACGTGTCAATTAAATAAAAAAGGAAGAAGTAAATAAGATTATATAATATTATTAAGATACAAAGTACACATTTACGATTATAAAGAGTAATATCAAAGAGTGAGGAGTAGCTCAAGTGGTTAGAGCTCTCCTCCCGATTCTAGGTGATTTGAGGATCAGTTCTCATCACCTATACTTGCGTCTCTCTAAACACCAAAAAAAAAAAAAAAATAGAGTAATATCAAAGGTATTCTCACAATATTAACATATACTACCTCCGTTTCTTTTTAGTTGACATGTATTCTTTTTTAGGAAGTTTTTTTTTAATTGACACGTTTTCCTTTGGGGTAAATTTTTTACCTTGTATTTACAGGCTACCCCACTTGCTTTTTCATTCTCTCTCACTCTCTCTCCTCTCCTTAATATATGTGCCTAAATTTAACGTGTCAACTAAATAGAAACGGATGAAGTATGTCACAATGGCCAAGATACCAAGAGATGCATGATATCTCTATCTCTTAATATCTTTACTAAATCAGACATAATTGTAATGTACAAGATATCTCTTAAGATTTAAAAAATCGTTCCTAATCCTAGTACTCTAGTAGTTTGGTTAAGTTGGCTGCATATTCGGTTCAATTGTTTAGGGATTTTGTACATCCCTATAAATAACTAATGAGGTATAATGGGCTAAGAGGAAAATGAGTTGGGTTGTTTAGTGAAGAAAAAAGAGTGGAGACTATTGGGCTTGGGTCGTTTGGTGTGTGTTTATAACTTATAATAAGAAAACTATACAAATATACAATGGCCCAACATTCATGTAATTATAAAGAGGTGACCTATAACAAGAAGGAAAGAAATAAAAGCTAGGATTTTCACTTCTTCATTGATCGTATAGGGTTGAGCAAAACTACCCGAAAATCCGTTCTGAAAATTAGGGTACCCGATCCGATAACCATAACGGTTCGGGTATCTGTTCCGATAAATTGTTATCGGGTATGATTATGGGTATCATTTTAAAATTAACGGTTACCCGATCCGATCCGATAAGCATTCTTTTTGTTTTTTTCCCTACTTAAATCTATTAACATAATCTAAAATTTTACTTTACTTCATAATCACTTTATAATATCAATGATTAGTAACATTATTAATAATATGGTCAAGATCATATGGTATTTTTTTAATTAGTTATAAATTATATCATAATAACTACATAATTAAGTTTAATTATCATTATTGGATATCTTATTGGGGACCCGATAACCGATCCGAAAATTCGGGTACCCAAAATCCAGGTACCCGAACTTATTGGTTCCGATTATGGGTATCACTTTTAGTGATTTTGGTTATCGGGTACCCGAACTGTTAGCACTAACGGTACGGGTACCCGTCCCATGCTCACCCCTAGATCGTAATAGTCTTGTAGACAGCAAAAATCACTCCAACGGAGTAGTAAATTTTAGGAAATTTTAGATTTTAGCACCTCACAAAAACGCAACAATTGATTTTAACACCCCCATAAAAAAAATGGATTTTAACACCAAATAAATTTCCAAAAATTTGGTATTACCACCACTTAACTGATTCCCTTTAGGAATCCGTTAAGTGGGCCCATAAGCCACGTGTTGTGTTATTATTGGCCAAAAAAAAGAAAATAAATAAATAAATAAAAGAACAACCTAAAACTACCCATTTCAAAATTAAGTACTCCCTCCGTCCCTTAATACAATGCCTCTTTCTCTTTATTATGTGAGGAATAATTGCTTAAAAGAGGCATTGTATTTAGGGACGGAAGGAGTACTTCACAATAATATCTTTGAAATCATTAACTATAATAATTTGTTTGGCATCTTATAAAAAAAAAATTAAATAAATAAATAAATATATATATATATATATATATATATATCTTTGAAATATTATATGACTTGTTATTCTTAGTTGATTTATATATTTAATAAATCGTTGATTACTATTTCGATAAGTTATGATATGACATTCAGCGTAGCAATTCTGGGCACTATCCAGGCCATATACTAGTAATAATATATTTTTAAATAAATGATCTAAATCAAGTATATATGTGTGTCATGTGTATCCTTCTCTTCTAGAAATTATAAATTATACTAATGCTTATATCAAGATTCCAATTTTAAGACAATCACAAAATTCACCATATGAATAAAAAAAGTCATACCATTTTTTGTTATGTAATATTTGTATTTATTTATTATTTTAATGTTATTAAGTTAGATAGTTTTTTTTTTTTTTTTTTTTTTTTTTTTTTTTTTTTTATAATTTTTTTTTAGAAAGAGCTATAAGCTATTTTAGCATTTGATAAGATAGATGATTTAAGGAGTTAGTCAAATCATTTAATGTAATCGGTCATATAGCTAATCAAACAGTTAAAATAACTTATACCAACTAAGGGCCTATTCTCATTGACTGAACTCAGCTGAACTGAACTGAATTGAGCTGAGCTGAGCCGAAATGAACTGATAATAAACGTATGAGAACATGCCCTAAGTACTTGCCAAGTACCAAATAGGAGCCTGAACACCCGCATATTTTAATTTGTAGTTTGGATCCTAACATCGTTAACCTACTTTTAAAAAAATTGAGTTCAATGCAATGTGATTGTACAATATTAATTAGGAATTTGTTCAAATAAATCCAACAAATTTTTTTACTATTAATTTTTTTTAATAATCCTATTTGGAGCTATTAAGAGATTTGATTTGACATAGTCGTTGCAAATAATATGAAACGAAGGTAGTATATATGGTACGAAGTAGTATAAAAGTGCATAAAGCTCCTTCCCATTTGAAATGTTTGTCTCACTTATAAACATTAGATATATCCTTCTCATTTTAAGGTAGTATAATCTAGCATTCAACATTTTTTTTTTCTAATAGAATATAGTTGAGATCCAATGAGAAGGACCTTAAAATGAGAAGGATGAGAAGGAACAAATGTACATATATTTTACACTAAATGTGCATTTTTTGGGCTTTTTGTCAAAAACTACCTAATAAAACCAATATTTTGCGAGAAACTACCTATTAAAAAAATGTTGTAATAAACTACCTAATAAAGGTAAAATGATGTAAAAAACTACCTAAGAAAAGGTAAAATGTTGTAAAATACTATCTATACCGAATTTTCACCGTTGATTGACCTCAAAACACTCTAAAACCACCGTTTTCATTCCCAAAACTAACACAACTTGCTTGAAATCGTCTCCACCACATCTAAAGCACCTTCCAACCCCAAAGCCACCACCTCTAACCCTAAAAACCACCATCCCGAAGCACTAATCTACCCTCACCAACTCAAAATATCCTCCAACCACCCCGAAAATAACATTACCACCTTGAAAACCAACCCTAACGGTGGTTTTGGGGGTGTTCTAAGGTGGATCAACATCCTAAAATTAAGTTAACGGTGGAATTTTGGTCAAAGGTAGTATATTACAACATTTTATCTTTTATTAGGTAGTTTATTACAACATTTTTTTTATCAGGTAGTTTCTCACAAAATTTAGGCTTTATTAGGTAGTTTCTCACAAAATGTCCTTTTTTATATTGAATGTGCATAATTGTGTTTCAACCTAATAAAAAAATTTAATTTCCTGAAAAAACGAAAAATATGCACATTTGTTCAAAAAATATGCACATCAAATTTGAGCCAAATATTTTTTTGCACATTTAGTACAAATTATGCACAAAAAATCCTTCTCATTCTTCTTGTTTGACCCTAAATCTATATATTTTTAATATAGTTAAAACTATATACTTCGTATATTTTAATTATATTGATTGAAATTATGTAAAAAGTAAATGAAATAAACAGAAAATAAATACTTCAAAAGACGTTGAAGTGACATTTTATTATATCTCTATTTTTATTTCTTAAATACGGAGTATTACAAATATATTTTTAATATCATGTACCTAGAACTATTATTATTATTATTATTATTATTATTATTATTATTATTATTATTATTATTATTATTATTATTATTATTATTATTAGGAGTATAACAAATATGTTTTTTTTTTTTTTTTTTTTTTTGATAAAAGAGTATAACAATATGTTACGGAGTACATTATATAATTGTGCAAATTTCTAAATAAGACAATATTAATAAAAGAAGACAATATTAATAAAACTTGCAATGTGCAAGTTGTCAACAACTCAACATTATCAACGCAACCAAGAGAGTTTCTCCACCACATACACAAAAACAAAGAAGGAAAAAAAAAAAGTTTCATCAACCAACATTATCAAACACCTTCAAGGATCATCGAGAGGAATTGGACCCCAAAAGAGGACCCAAACCAACAAGACATTAGGAACCAAAATTGGAATCAAAGGATTAACTTCACTCACTAGCTTCTTTCTAAACAATCTTTTCCTGAAATACAATCTTTTACTTTCATCATCCCATTTAGCTTCTTCAACTCCTTTGCCCAAAATCAGAGGTGGGGGTTGACTGTAAGGGCACTTTGACCTCCAAGAAATAGGAGGTGCCCTTAATCTTTTAAGGAAGAGAGAGAAACTCCATTTTAAGTTGAATGTTGGGTTGTTTTGGTATTTGGGGCAGAGTAAAGGTGGGAAATCCCAGTTTAGATAACAGGGGATTTGGTTAGCAATGAAATATTGAGAGTGGAGTGATGGGTTTGTAGTTGGGTTTGTTAAGATGTGTGTTAGGGCTGTGAATTTTTGCTCCCATGTTGTATCCTCCATTTTTGTTGCTTTGGGAGAAAGCTAGAAATGAAAGTATTGAGTGAGAGGATTGGTTTGAATTTTTTGTTCCATACGTCCACTCTTGTATTCATTAGTCCAGTGTAAGATGGTTTTGGGTTATGCCTCGTGCCCACCATGTATGTCTTATGGTTGGATGTATGCCGTGCTACACATTGTGTCATGTCAAAGTACGCTATTTCGACTCTATTTTGTATCCGGGTTGGACACTCGACACTCACACGAGGACATAAATTCCTTACTTTACACTTCAATGCTTATTTAGATGCTTCAATCATCTTTAACCACAAAACCATAGAAAATATAGAAATAAAAGGAACGAAAAGAAGTATGTGCTATAAATAGGCTTTAAATAACATTTTAACAAGATTAACAATCAAGTTCGCTTAAAATGTGTGTAAAGTATTTTTACGACATAATACTTGCAATTCGAGTAGAACTATCTAAAATTAGGAATATGTTCCATTTATGTCGTTCCCTCTCACTAGTGTCCACATTTAAATTAGGACAATGTCCTTGTGTCTGAAAGTTCTTACCCTTACTTAACAGATACTTATTTTTACTTGATTGAATTGAATAAGCTTATTTTTACTTATTTTTACATGTGTCTTCTATTCTTCTAATAAGCTTGATATTGAGCTAGTGTTTACTAAACTTGCACGCTTATTAATACTTCATATTTTGAACTAAAACATGGATAGATCACCGAAGGACCAAGTAAAATTTCATTAATTAGATTTCTTCAATAGCTCAGGAGGGTTGAAGAAACTGTAAGAAGAATGATACCTGAAACAAGAAGAAAAGTGAAAAGGCAAGCCTAACAGACTGACATAATCCATATTTTTCTTTGTTTGCAGCTTTCTTATATAATAAGCTTTGCAAAAGGCTTCCTCCTAGTAATGTTACTTGTGTTCCATGTGCTGAGACAGACTGAATTCAACCGCCGCAATATGATAATCACGAGAACATGTTTTGCAAAACACTGTACAATCTGTAATAGTCTGCACATTAACATTGTTACACTGAAATTTCGCGTATAGCAGTAATGATATATTTAGCCTACAACCTATAATCCTGAATTACGTATTATCAACGCCAAAATTGTCGTTTCTTCTAGGGTTCTTCTGTATGTGCATTGTTCTTAGTTATCTTCAGTGTGGCAACAATCATCTCAAAGCAAACAAGAGGTAGAAAACAGCTAGAGCAGAAACCTGAATTAAATCCAACTTAAGATCAGCTTCCAGCTTAATTATGACTACGAGAGAGTATTCAACAAACAAGAAGATCCACATTAGACTTACCAGAAAAGGCACCAACGACAACACGCTCATGGCAAGTGTAAGCAGGAAAACAGCCACAGAAGATGCCTACGATAAGCAAACTCGAAATTTGCTTCAGCTCAATCACGACAAAGAATTGTAAAAATCCAGGCTCATCATAAACTTACCAGAGAAAAAAAAACTGATAACAACCATCTCAGAAAAAGAATGGTAGGAAATACAACTACAACAGACACCTGGAATAAGCCAACTCAAAAATATCAGTTCAATTATGAGACAACTTGTTTATTAAGGGTCCATAGTTAAGTAAGTTAACTTACCAGATAGAACACCAACTCTTCACTGGCAAAAACAGCAGTAAAATCATTTATCTCCATCTTTTGTCTGAGAAAACCTTGCAACTATAAGCATATCTATTAGCAACAAGCACACAACGAAATAATAGTATACAAAAGCTCAATGTCAAAGAAAGCAGTAGGAAAGCATGCTCAGTTCAGGTGCACGTCAAACTAAGGCTATAAGCGCACCTGGCTACTGTCTACAACTGCCAAATAAACAAGTAAGAGAAAAAGCATAGTGATTTTTTCTCCATTAAAGAATAATAAGCTGAATCTGATTTTTTGGTCAAATCTCATCAACATCGATTTTACTAATTTATTACCATTATACATAATATGTGACAGAAGCACAGAACTAGCCTCAAATCAGAAACCAGAATTCATTAGTATCCTAAACCCAACAAGAAAGCCTGAAATCTATCAGAGTTCAGTTATTCAATCTAATGTCAAACACAGCATGCTTTTCATGCATAATTTTAATTTTGGACATAAATCACATTAGCTCCAGCTCATATTGCCTTATTATGAGATGTAAGCTTCAACCCAGATCAAGTTACATACTTTGATGTATAGCTCAATAAAAACCAATCTAGTAATTCTTTGATCATGGCTTGCCAAATGATAGGCTATAAAGCTTTAGTGATTTAGCAGACTATAACATACTTCGTAAGTGATAAGCCTCTAATCCGACATTGATATTTAAGAGACTATTGAACTTAAAAGTCCTAGTAAGTCCATGTGGTGAGTTCACCTACCACTGAAACTGAATAGATGAGATTAGTCTCACTTGTAATGAAAAACTGTTAAAATAGCTTCTGCCAGACTAGGGTAAATAAAATAGCAGAGCAGAGGGTTCAAATTACTGTAGTCAGAGAAAATCAAGGGAGCTATGTTGATATGTACTAGAAAAGTGATTGGAGCTATGTCACACCTTTTTCTAGTTTACTTGTTTTGCATTTCATTCTCTGTACTTCGAAAATCGAAATAGATGACCAAAAAATTAAGAAATAAAGTAGGAACTAGGACGACATCTGAGGTCATGAGGTGGGAACTGGGGAGTAAAAGATTGGGAAAATACTCCCACATCCAATAAGAATCAAATCCTCATTTCAAGATGAAAGTTGGATGCTAGATTGTAAGATACTACTTCCAACACCAGGCCACATGGTTTAGGTCCTAAAGAAAAAATAAATCTAGTAATTTTCACATAAATAAATTGTGCTTAATAGGGGTACTATGTTTTAGGTAATCCATGTCCCTTTGGCTTGATATGAATAAATTTTCTGAAAATGCTAAATATGAATCATTATCAGCAGGCAGGTACCTACGGTGAAGAAATTGCTAGCCAAAAATCCTAATCACCACTTGAGTTTTGTAACTAAGGGCTTGCCTTGCATTATCTTTCTAGGGAAAATATACAAGAGATGTTTGTTAATGGTAGCAAGGAAAAGCTATGTAAGTTGAGTCATAACAAGTTCACAAACAAGTAGTCTATCTCTACGGTTTGATTGATAACAAAGTAGAAGAGAAAGGGAGGGGGGGAGGGAAAAAGAAGGAAGGGGAAGGAATGGAAGGGGAGGGAGAAGGTAAGGTCACATTTTCCCTCCAAATCTTTCCAGCATTGGAAGGATTTGTTTTATGAAAGATGAAGGGAAATGGATCCTTCCTTTCCCTCCTACCAAAAGGTATCCAAAGAAGGGGGGATGAATCCCTTCTATTCCCTTCTCTTCCTTTCCCTCCAATTCTC